CTCTTATTACCCAGGCTGGAGTGCAATGGTGTGATCTCAGCTCACCGCAACCTCCGCCTCCTGGGTTCAGGCAATTCTCCTGCCTCAGCCTCTTGAGTAGCTGGGACTACAGGCACGCGCCACCATGCCCAGCTATTTTTTTGTAGTTTTAGTAGAGACGGGGTTTCACCATGTTGACCAGGGTGGTCTTGATGTCTTGACCTCGTGATCCACCCACCTCGGCCTCCCAAAGTGCTGGGATTACAGGCTTGAGCCACCGCGCCCGGCCACATCCAGGAATTTTTTTAAAATTTTAATATAGAAAAAGAAAATCTGTCACACAAGTGCTAAGTGAGAATAATACATTAGCAATCGTACTATTTATAGATCACATGGTTCCGAAGCAACTGGTGGCTGGTTTACAGCTCTGTTCTTAATTATACTTGATCTACGACATCCTTTGTCTCTCTACATGACAGTATCTTAGATCTTGATCTGCTGCTTTCATAGCAGGAAACATCTTTAAATACAGACTTTGAAAATACCAATCAAATGTGGCATGGGGCAAGTTGGCATATCTAAGAATTCCATTTTGGAATTTGACGTGAAATGTTGAGTTGTAACTAATGAAGGTGATACAACAATAACATTTATGAGCACTTATGTGCCACATAAGGTTCCAAAAGCTCCACATGAGTTAATCTCCATGCTAACTTCAGGAAGTTAGTACCATCATTATTCCCATATTACAGAAGAGGAAACTGAGGTGTATAAATCTTTTATCACTTGCCCCAGAGTCACACAATTGGTGAGCAGAGAAGTCAGAAACTGAATTTACAAATATTCCTAGTTGCGAACATCACTGTTTTTAAGAGCATGACAAGTTTCTGCAACCTAAGCCTGCTTCAACTTTGTATTTAAAATTAGCAGTGCTTGACTCTCTTAAGTGATATCACAATGTGTCCTTCCCACAGCTTGATGCTTGAAGATTATTTATTTAAATCATCAGATGCTATTGGCTTCAATAACATCTTTTATTTTTGGTTATCCTGCTACAATTTTTGTAATACTCATTTTTAGCTTCTGGGGCTTTCTTCAATTTTTCCTTTTATGATAATGTAAAAAAAGAAAGAATTTAAATGTGACAGACCATGAATGACAATTAAAAGGTAGTTGCACATTAACTGGTAAATCTGTGGAAACAAAGGTAAATTTTTCACTTAGGGCTGGGTAGAGAGTGGGAAGTGACAGCCAATGGGTAAGGGCATCTTTTAGGGGAGATAAAATGTTATAAAATTAGATTGTGGTGATGGTGGCATAACTCTATGAATATAGTAGAAAACACTGAGTTGTATCCTTTAAGTGGGTGAATTGTATATTATGTGAATTACATCTCAATAAAGCCATTTCTTTTTAAAAGGGACCCTCTCCCCAACCTCACATCATGGACTCAGAAGAAACAATTGTAGTAAGTTTATAATTTTATTTGGTGTAAATAATTTTTATCTTTAATCAAATGAGAGTAAGCCACTCATTCCAACCCTTGCAATCAATTAGATGTACATGTATTTTGTTTATTTGACTTTGTCTCTGATAAACGAATACCTTTCATGTTGTGACAGACATTAGAACATCAATACCAGGAGTCGCTATTACTCAGAAGTCTCCAGGTTGCTAGTCAAATGGCACGAAATTGCCCAGCCTGATCTCAAGATGTAATGGCATTGATGAACTGGCTTAAGACAAAATACATACTTCATGAAAGAAGGAAACAAAACAAAAAGCTCAAATCCTTTTCCTACTCAAATCCCATGTTCTTAAAGACACATGAGTGAATCTTGACATAGATTTATCCTTCTCATCCAGAAAACTTTGAAACTAGGGACATGTTTTCGTTTTTCTCCTCATGATCCCATTCTCATTTCTCAAGCTTTCAAAGTTTCATAGTTCTAAAATGTCATCTTAGTGATATGAGTATTCTCTGGGCAGAATTTAGGTTTACATTTATACTGAGCTCAGATACACCTTTTCTGTGACCTCCTTTTTGTTTTACACATGCTGTTTCCCTCTCTTGGTTTCTCTTCTAAAATAATTATGTTTTCCTGGGAAAGTTGTTACTGTACATTCGGGTCACTACTTTGTATTATACAAATCTTGTTTTCACACACATAAAAAGAGAACTTTGAAAAAAAATGAGGTAAAAGAACAAGTAATAATGTAACAAAGAGGGGTTAAGGGAAAGATAACAGTTGGCTTGAGATATATGTGTTT